ATACCGGAAGCATAACATAACACGCTGCTTGAATTGCTCTGCCTTCAGCCTTGCAGAGATATTTCGAAGAGTACGACCAAGCGCAGAAAAAATCTGAAAGTGAACTGGGTCACTTAATTAGTGAAATTTGGAAAGACAAACTACCTTTGTAAGGAGATCACCAAAGTACTGCCTGAAGTAAAACACGTCTCTTACTCCTCGAGATGCGGCATTGGCCAAAAGATCGGATATCAGATACAACCTTGATTTCGGCAATTATAGCAAGCTCAAATAACTTCTTAGTTGACGCACCTCGCAATCTTCTTATGCAACGGGGTTTCATCAATAGTGAGCGATTCATATATACAATCACAGATTTCTCTAGCACACGTAGCATGGTCCGCACACCAAACCATAGCGTACCCAATCTATAGATAATTCCAATCAGCAAAAACCCAAAAAAAATCTGACACTTACACTATCACTTTCCGGCGTCAGTTCTCTAAGAATTTGTTCTAACTTTTTGCGCTGACTTTTTCGTAGACGAGCCTTAGGTTTCTTGGAATCCCCTTTGGGACTTCTTGATCTGTCATGCCTTCCTCTTGTTTCGTGCGATCGAGCTGATCGCTATAAATGATGAAAATCGATGAAAAAATCCAACAACGAGGGTTGACAAAGAAATCCTATTCCGTTTACCTGGCCAGATGCATCTAACTTGGGAAGCCAACGACTGGGCTCAGTCAAAGTACACGCGAAGCTATATAGCGAACGGGGCATACAGCTGAAGAGTTCGGCTTGTGGAATTGGTGGCTGCCACCATGATCCACCGTCAAACATCCTTAAGCAAATTGGGTAATATAATCAAACAAAACAAACCATATGAGGGGAAAAAAAAGAAAACAAGCACGTACCTGAACTTCTCACGTCGCCATTCGAGAAAGGTGTCACCTTGCGAGATCGAAAACAAACGCCAACGATAGTAGACATGAGTGGGATGATTGAGCTCGAAAAGGAATCTGAAACATTTCGCCCGTGGCAGATGTTTGTCTACTGCCTTTCAAAGAAATTTCTTTTGTAACTGAACGTTCTAGACTAGCGGAATTCTGTTATTTTCCTTTGTCTTCAAGTGAAATTTTTTATCACTTTTGACTCAGCATTTTAAAATCCAGATTTACCCACGTCTAGTTAATAACATGATCAACAGCCTCAAAGAAAAAACAGTTAGCAACATTGTACCGAAAAAATCCCAAAAATTCGACAAAAAGATCAATGAAAAATATAATATTAATAGATAGTAGCTTCAAAACCCACCGAAACAAAGGATTAGTCCTCTCACGAGTCATCAACATCGCTTCGAAGAGAGGACCCTCGCGTA